TTTCAATCAACTCAGGAGGATCAAATCATTAAAAGAACGTTATTAAGCCAATATTTTTTGTTATTTATGTTTATCGCACTTATTTTTAAATTTACAAACTTAACTCATGAGGTCGAACCCAAAAAATAAACAATTAATATGCCAATCACCTCAGTTGTATATCACTTTTCTAAACGGTTGCATACTTATTTCTAGCACCAACAAATAAGGATGATTGTATTTATAAAAAAACAGTAATATGTAATTTTTTGGTTTCAATCAATTCAGGAGGGTCAGACCTATTAGACACAACTATTAATATGTCAATATTTTTTTGTTTTCTACGTTTTTCTCGCTCATTTTAAGAGTTTGAAACCTAATTCTGGCTTTAGATGACTCAGAAAAACGAATTCATAATTAAGGAAGGACGAACCCATAAGAATAAATCATTAATATACCAACTACCCCATTAGCTTATGCTTATATTGCTGTTTTTAGGTTTAAGAATTTACTCCTTGCATCAGCAAATTCAGAAGGGTCGGTTTTTTTAAAAAAGTACTAAGAAATTTTTCATTTCAATCTACTCAGGAGAGACAAATCGATTATATACAATAATATAGATTCCGTCTAAGATTTCTATCATTGTGTAAATTCATTTTTTCCCATCCTACATGTATTTGTATATGTAAACAATGTTTGTAAATCCCATGCCCTGAAGATGATTTCAATAAAGATCGAAACGTTGGCACGATAAAGAAAATGTTTTTCTGAAACCTACATCACACCAGAGCGCCTCTCACGATCTCCAAATAATCATTATATTCAACCATTAATACGTCTACGCCAATTACCTTATTAGATTATATTAATCTTGCTGTTTTTAAGTTTGTGAATTTACTTCGTGCATCAGTAAATTCAGGATGATCGGATTTATGAAAAAAAAAACTAACACGAAATTTTACATTTCAATCTACTCAGGAGGGTCAAATCAATAAAAAATATTATTATCCCAAAATTTTTTGTTATTTATGTTTAGCTCACTGATTTTGAGATTTACAAACTTAATTCTTGCTCCGGTCGACTGAGACGGGCCGAATCCATATGAATAAAATATTAATATACCAATTACCACATTAGCTTATGTTTATATTGGTGTTTTTAGGTTTAAGAATTTACTCCTTGTATAAGCAGATTCAGGACTTTTTTAAAAAGTACTACGAAATATTTCATTTCAATGTTCGCGGAAAAATCAAATCTATTAAATACAACCATTAATATGTCAATTACGCCAATTAACTCATTAGTTTATTACAATTAATTAAAGTTTTTAGTTGAGATAAAAAAGTCAATGGCACGAGCGGGTTTCGAACCCACGATCTTCGACTTGATACGCAGCTGCTCTACCACTTGAGCTATCGTGACCTCGATCCACTCGGACACCAACTTCATATCTCAACCGCACCTTTTGAATTTTCCCTCCTTTTTGCCATTTTTAAGGTGCGGTTGAGATGGGAAGTTGGTGTCCGAGAGGATCTAGGTCACGCACGATAGCTCAAGTGGTAGAGCAGCAGCGTATCAAGCCGAAGATCGAGGGTTCGAATCCCGCTCGTACCATTGACTTTTTTATCTCAACTAAAAACCTTTTAATTGTAATATATTAACTGGTCAAGCGGACCACGAAATTAGTGAATTCATTAGTTTATGTTCATCTTGGTGTTTATGAGAATTTACTTCGTACAACATTAGTGCAACAGGAGGATCGTATTTATTAATAAAAACTTACTCCGACATTTTTTCATTTCAATCAATTATGCCAAACTTTTTTGTTATTTACGTTTATCTCACTCATTTTGAGATTTACAAACTTAATTCTTGCTTCGGTCCACCGAGAAGGGACGAATCCATAAGAATAAATCATTAATATACCATTTACCACATTAGCTTATGTTTATATTGCTGGGTTTAGGATTGAGAATTTACTTCATGCATCAGTAAATTCAGGATGATCGGATTTTTAAAAAACAACAGAACAACGAAATTTTTCATTTCAAACTATTCAGGAGAGTCAAATCTATTAGAATACATCAATTACCTTATTATTTTATGCTTGTCCTGCTGTTTTAGATTTATTACGCCAATCACCGTCCTTGTTTACTTTTATCTCGCTTTTCTTTACGCTTGAATTTACGTTTCATATCAATCAATTCAAAAAATCTTCTTTTTTTTTAATATAAGTTATTTTTCGTTTCAATCAGCTCAGAAGAGTCGAATTCATAAGAAGCAACTATTTATATGCTAATATTTTATGTTTTTTATGTTGTTATTTTTTTGCTTTGCTTATTTTAAGGTTTAAAAACTTTGTGTATAAATTGAGTCAGAAAGTTCGGATTAATAAAATAAATAGTAATCTAAGTTTTTAACTTGTTTATATTTATCTTACTTATTTTTGAGATTTAATTGTTATTATTAATTTAATCTTAATTATTAGTATTAAGTATTATTTTAAACTCAATTCTTGCTTCGGTCAAGTCAGAAGTTCAGAAGGAACAAATATTAATATGCCGATCACCTCTGCTGTTCACGTTTATTTCACATATTTTGAGGGTTTTTTTAAGGAGAAATGATCAGGTTTATAAAAAGCAGTCTTTTTTTCATTTCAATCGACTCAGAAGGGTCAAATTCAAAAACATTAATATGAAATATTTTCGGTCTGCTATAAAAGACTAACAAATTATATAAAAAATTATATTGTTTATAAAAGCAAACGTGACTGTGATAAAGATATTCAGACTATTCAGTTGTGTAAAAATAGTCTAAAACATCGACAATAGAGAAAAATCAAAATGTGACAGGACTATCACAACATGTCACTTAACAAAACATAAAATTGATTTTGAAATTGCAAAACCTATAGTCTTCCAAAGAAAGGAAGAAAACCTGAATCGTAAGGAAAAAACGTATATATACAAATTATATGAAAATACTCTAAATTTACAGAAAGTCAGGAAAAAAATATCTAGTCGGTATCATCATCGAAAAGTATAAAAACACAGCTTCATCGAAGAGATTGGATATGAAAACCTATCAACATAGTACCAGCAACGGCCACAAGATGGAGTGGGCGCAGAGAAAAACAATGAAATGAAATACAATGACAGGAAAAAATTTCACCCCACTGATTTTTTTCATTTTCTCGATAAAAGAAAAATCTGCTCTAAATTTGTCTCATCGTTATTATCAATAAATATTTGTTTGTGCTATGTTTTGAATTATGCATATCAATTGCAGGTAAACACACTTAATCCTTAATCCAAAACAAGGATAAAGGATTTTTCAATGTTAACTTTTTACGGAATTGGAAATGTTCATTCAGTCTCGTTTGAATTCTGAAGGAATAAAATTTTTAATTTTCATTTTTGTATTGTTAATTTCAATTTTTAAACTTAAAAATGCCGCTTAGTGCTGAGGATGTTGTGTTTTGTGTGGCACTTATTGATGATGGACGTTCCATCAGGTGTGCGGCTATTGCCATCGGAGTTCCGTAAGAAACTCTGCGAGAAGCCGTTAGATGTTTTCGAGAAACTGGGTCCTACCATAGAAGGCCCGGTTCTGGACGCCCTAGGGTAACAGAACCATAGGATGATCGTTTTTGGACTTTGAGAATTTTGCACCGGCACCTTACTGTTGTTCAAGCGCTTCATCAGCTCCAGGAAGTTCAAGGTGTCCATATTTCTGAACGCACTTCTCCAAGCAGATTAAATCAGTATGGAATGATGGCTTTTCGCCTCGTAAGAGAACCAGAGTTGCACAGCTCCCATTTGCTCAAGAACACAACCATTGCTCCTTGGACGATTGGTCTGCTGTACTTTTTACAGATGGGCGTGAAATAGTGTGGACAAGAATGAAAGGTACAAAGCCTGTAATTTTTCCCAGAGCCGACTTTTTCAACTTAGCTCAGTGATAGTGTGGGCGGGAATTTCAATGGAGAGTCGCACAGAGTTGGTTGTTGTTCGTGGAGGGTCTTTGACGGTGACTCGGTATGTGGATGAAATTTTGGAACATCATGTGTTGCATATCCTCGATGAAATCAGCGACAATCCTATTCTAATGCACGATAATGCCCGTCCACATGTCGCTGGCCTAGTACAAACGTACCTTCAACAGCATAACATCAGGGTCTTAGCCTGGCCAGCCCGTTCTCCAGACTTGAACCCCATCGAACTTTTATTGAATAACCTCAAAAGACGTATAAGAGCACGTCCATCACTTCCTGATACATTCCACGATCTTGAAAGGACTCTCGTGGAGAATGGGCTAACCTCCAACAAAGAGACATTTCCAGACTGGAAGAAAGTATATCAAGGCGTTAAAGATGAGATGAAGTATCGACCAGCTTGTTGAACAACTTGAACAAAAGGATCTTAAAGTGAGGTCACAACTGAAACGACAAACTCTTTAAGTCTTTGTCGAACGTTCGACGATTATATCGTCATCATCAGGGCTTCAACTAGATGAGTGTTTAAATATATCTGGAGAACAACAAACTGCATATGTAATTTAAATTCTCATCGAACTTCAAAACAACAGATACTGAGTTTCACCTAATTTTAATTATTATTACACATGTAGTTTGTTGTTCTCCAGATATATTTAAACACTCGTCTAGTTAAAGCCCTGATGATGACGATAAAATCGTCGAAGGCTCGGCAAAGACTTAAAGAGTTTGTCGTTTCGGTTGTGACCTCACTGAAGATCCTTTTGTTCAAGTTATGCCAAGGTGTCTTCGATATGTAATTAAGGCAAGAGGAGGAAATACGCGATATTGAAATATTACTTAAAATTATAAAACAAAATTTTTAAAAAATCTTTTATCTGTCATTTTCCATAGCACTTTACTTTTTTAGACAAAGACTCAATTATTAAACGTTAAAAAACTTGATATATTTGTACATATACAAATCAAGTTATATTACAAATGGGAGGGATTTTTTGCCTGTCAGTTCATAATTGTTTCGGCTCACCTGTTCCGTGACGCGTAACTCGTCTTCGTTATCTCTGTGGAAAGACAACGCGGACGAGCTCCTGGAATGGCAGGCGTTCGAGTTGTACGACCCGGATCCCATCTGCTCGAAGAGCCGTTCGGAAAGGCTCCCCTTCGGCAGTCCCAGCGGGTCCAGGCTGCACTCTCTGCTCCTCCCTGTGTGCTCACTTCCGACTCTGAACATAACAAAAACCTTTAATTATCATACTAGTCACAAAAGTATGTCTAAATTTTTATTTAGAAAAGGTTCAAATGTCATTTCGTTATGTGTGTGTGTGTGTGTGTGTGCACGTATGTCTCAGATCAATTCTGTAGATACAATCAACACATATAGGTTCATCAATTCTCTCCCTTTTCTCGTTTTCTCTCTCTCTCTCTCTCTCTCTCTCTCTCTCTCTCTCTCTCTCTCTCTCTCTCTCTNGAGAGAGAGAGAGAGAGAGAGAGAGAGAGAATGTACCTGAAAGCAGACGAGTTTCCGTTTCCAAGGTGGCCGGCAGATTTCCTATTTCTTAAATAGGATATTATCATTTTAATTAGATAATTTGGGACTTGCAGTCAAACATTTTTGATATTATTCCGTTATGCCATACAGTATCAAAAGCTTCAATAATGCAGTAATACTACGCCAATGTGCTTTTCTTTATTGAAATTGGAAATTACATAATCCACCTATGTGCAAAGCTGTGTAGTGTTGTTTTAGAACGTAATTGATTTCTTCCAGAACTCCTAATATAAAACTTTTAGATGATTGAGGTAATTGAATAGGCTTGACCTAACAAAATTAATTAATATTATTGTCATTAATTAATTCTCATGTGTTTTTAAGTATGAACGTTTAGCATTTTTTACAAGGGCAATTCTGCATCCTGGACTTTTTAAATATTCAAATATTTTTACAACAAAATAATATGCGTAGCTCTCACTTCAATTTTTCTTTAGTTTGTTTTCGATAGATATGATAATTATAATTCAATTCAGAAAAGAAAGAATAATAGAAAAGTGAGGCAAAACATTCCATATACATAGTAATGGACAAATTTACTTATAATTTTTAAAAATTCATAAAAGTGTCAAGCATTCTTTTTAATTAGTTTATCTGTCTGTTTAGTTTGTAAAGCGTTAAATAAATATAGTTTTTACAAAGACAATAAGTTCCAGTCCTCCTATTTTAAAATTACAAATTGGAGTGAAAAATCTCTTCTCTTAGATGTCGATTAGGCCGTCAGGATTTTCTAAACGCCAAGACAGATGCTAACGAGAAAACAAGACGGTAAAGTATATCCTAGACAAGTGTTTAAGTTGGAAATAGAAATCTTACGCCAGAAAACTAGGGCGGCTCAACGCTAATTCACGACTCCAGTTAGTTTTCTAGGCTTTTTGTGTATTTACAATTAGATAATTGGACATTAAAGACGTTTCGTTTCTCTTTAAAACCCATTAAATAAATAATAATGACCATGATGATGGTTAAAAAGATTAAGAATTTGTTTGTTTCAAAATAAACAAGTGCATTTTTTAATTTCTTTAAACCATTTTTAGGTAATTAAAAATAAAAAAAAGATTATCTTTTACCTGTGTATCACTAGTCGTATCGAGTTTCCGGCATTTTTGAACAGGCTCTGGGCGTCTTGGTGTGTTATGTCTCTCGAGTCGTAGTCGCCGATCTGAAGTACTTCATCTCCGGGCTTTACAAAGCCTTCTGCGGGTGTGCCGGCGATCGCCTGGAAGACAAATGTAATATAGTTTCATTACATGCTTTCTATGAAAAAAGACTATCAGTAAAAGCAGATAAATTTAAGAAAACAGCGAGAAAAGCGGTAATGTTTTACCATTTAACGTAACAGTGTACGGAGAAAAAGAGTGAGAGGGGGAAGGAAAGAAAAGGGAGAGAGATCAATTACATAAATAGAGAGAGGGGAAAGCAGGATGTATATATAGATAGATAGATACTGAGAGATAGAAAGATAGAGAGAGAGAAAGAGAGAGAGAGGGAGAGAGAGGGAAAGAGAAGTAGAAAGAGAGAGGAAGAAAGATTTAGGGAGATAGATAAATAGAGAGAGAGAGAGAGAGAGAGAGAGAGAGAGAGAGGGAAAGAGATAGAGAGAGTACGAGAGAGAGAAAGGGAGAGAGACAGACCGAGACAGAGAGAGCGAGATAGATTGATTAATAGATAGGTTGATTGTTAGGTAGATAGATTGATTGATAGATAGATTGATTGTTAGGAAGATAGATAGATAAATAGATAGAGAGAGAGAAAAAAACAAAAAAGAGAGAAAGACTAATAGATAGATTGATTGTTAGGTAGATAGATAGATGAATAGGTAGATAGATAGATAGAAAGAAAAAAAGAAAGAGAGAAAAACGAATAGAGAGATTGATTGATTGATTGATAGATAGGTTGATTTTTAGGTAGATAGATAGCTAGATAGATAGAGAGAGAGAGAAAAAAAAAAGAAAAGAGAAAGACGAATAGATAGATAAATTGATTGATAGATAGGTTGATTGTTAGGTAGATAGATATATAAATAGATAGAGAGAGAGGGATAAAAAAAGAAAGAATTTGTATAGGGGGAAGGAAAGAAAAGGGAGAGGGATCCATTACATAAATAGAGAGAGGAGAAAGCAGTATTGTAATAGATAGATAGATTGATTGATAGATAGGTTGATTGTTAGGCAGATAGATAGATAGATAAATAGTTAGATAGAGTGAGAGAGGGGGGGAAAGGGATAGGGAGAGTTGGAGAGAGAAAGGACGAGAGACAGACTGATAGATTGATTGATTGATAGATAGTTGATTGTTAGGTAGATAGATAGATAAATAGATAGATAGAGAGAGAGAGAAAAAAAAGAAAGATAGAAAGACGAATACATAGATAGATTGATTGATAGATAGATAGGTTGATTGTTAGGTAGATAGATAGATAAATAGATAGATAGAGAGAGGCAAAAAGAAAGAGAGAAAAACGAATAGATAGATAGATTGATTGATAGATAGGTTGATTGTTAGGTAGATAGATAGATATATAGATAGAGAGAGAGAGAGAAAAAAAAAGGAATGAGAGAAAAAATAGAAAGTCATTTTTTTCTGTAGCTTCTATTTAGACAGCGTTTAGTCGAGTGTATGGGCTCCAGTTAAATCATATGTCTAGAAACAATTATAAGAAACGTACCTAGTTTGTCTAGCAGTGTAGAGGGTAAAGAGGACTGGTGCAAATATACTTCCTTGAGAAACAGTTGATAGGATAAATAGATGAAGCTACATGAAGTACCGCTTCAACTCAAGGGGAGTAGCGTTGGGCTATATGGACTATATGATGGAATTGCAGCGACGAAAACGCACTAAACCCGCAACACGCATGAGTATTGCGTTACTGTGTTTACGCCGTGCTCTGTATTCCATACTTGGTGAATTTATGAAAGAATCAGGAAAACCTAAGACCTTAATCCTGGATAACTGTTAAGGAAAACTGACCCTTTGCAGAAGAATTAGCGGGAAGAGACACCGCTAATCCTAAATATTTATTATACTCCTTTGTAAAGAAAAAGTCTTCTTGATACCCTATCATTAACATCCTAATGAATGAATTATCTAGGCAGTCTGTCAAAAATTATAAATAGAAATCAGTTTCTCTTTTAGAACTACATATATTTTATAGTTTAGCGAGTTTAGAAATTACTGATAGTTGATAATTTAGATGTTTTTAATAATTTAAGACGATGTTAAATATAGACGAATAAAAGTTCATTTCATATTTAATAGAATTTACACATTTCCGTCTTTCAACCTTTACTTTACGTTCAAGCATTGTCAATTTATCATATTTGAAATGCCAAAAATGTTAAGGTATAGCTGGATTTTATCTCAAAATAAATTAAGATTTCATTAAATACAACTGTTTAAAAAAAGTAACATCTGCCATGATTATTTTCAGCTTAAAAGGCAACTATGATTAATTTTTATGGAAAATGAATATAAATAAAGATCGTCGGATTAAATAGGATGACGGTTGCAGCTTTATAATATTATATTCGACTGCCGGGACAAGACTGGCCAATGCCGATCTTGCATGTTTCGAAATTTTAGGATAACCGTTTTGGCTCAACTTCAGTCCCAATACGATTTTCCGGTCTTGGATCTATAATTATCCACCAATATCTTTTTTCTCTTTCCTTCTGGTAAGACATTTATTGAATTTCTCCCTACCAAACTCTGACGCAAGGATTTAAGGAATCGTGCATTAATTCGATATATTATCAAGTAAAATTATACAGATGGGAAATGATAAGAAAATCATGGCTTAGCGGAAAATATTCGTATTAGAAGAAAGAAAATCAATTTTTACAGAATTCCCATTATTCCATAAGCAATAGCAAATATTATGAATCGTATACTTAACTTTTCAAGAAAGTTTAACGTTAAACAACTAAACCCATACTATCGATCTGCTTAACAGTCTACCTATCTATCAATCTCTCTCAATCTCTCTCTCTCTAATTCTCTCTCTCTCTCTACTTCTCTCTTTCTCTCACTCTCTCTCTCTCTACTTCTCTCTCTCTCTCTCCCTCTCTCTACTTCTCTCTCTCTCTCTCTACTTCTCTCTCTCCCTTTCTCTCTCTCTCTACTTCTCTCTCTCTCCCTCTCTCTCCCTCTACTTCTCTCTCTCTCCCTCATTTATATAGTTTAAGAAACTTAAACTATATAAATGTTAAAAATGTAAATATATTAATAAATAACCACAAAATACTGCTGTCCAAATCATTAAAGAATCTTGGTGTCACAATGGATGAAACATTGTCTTGGTCAGAACAAACCAACGATATTTGTAAAAAAACTTTCCAAAGCCTTTGTCAGCTGCGAAAAATCCAGATTGATCTTCCACCTGAGGTAAATTTACAAATTATAAAATCTATGTTGTTCCCAATCTTTGATTATGCTTCCCTATGCTATTCTAATATAACTAAAAAAATTTTAGAAAAACTACAAAAAGCACAAAATGCTTGTATAAGATATGTTTATAATATCGAATACTTTGAACATGTCACACCATATTATGCTAAAGCAAAAATTTTAAAAATTAAAGAAAGAAGAGCACTAATGCTCTCGATATTCTTAATAAAAATATTAAAAAGACAAAAACCATCATATCTGATAAATAACTTTAAATTGTATAAGCCTACCCATGACAAGTATACTAGATATGATAAACATAAATTTATATTGCCTAAAATTAGAACTGCTATCTACAATGGATCTTTTCTAGTAAAAGCAATCAATAATTATAATAAAAATAACCTGTACAATTTACTACTTCTACCATATGTAAAAGCGAAATCTATATTAAAAGAAGAGTTCCTGACAAAATACGATGATAGATAAAAATGTAATTAAAATATCCTCGTGTTATATATGTATATACTGTACTACTATACTAGACGATAGTATTTACTATTGTGATAAGATTATTTATTACTAANTCTCTCTCTCTCTCTCTCTCTCTCTCTCTCTCTATCTATCTATCTATCTATCTATCTATCTATCTATCTATCTATCTATCTATCTATCTATCTATATATATATTTTTTCTATCTATCCATAGCTATCTAACCTATGTATATAATGTATGTACCTATCTACCTATCTATCCATCTATCCATCAATCTATCTATTTCTCTCTCTCTATCTAACTATATACTTATCTATCTATGTAACTAAATAACTATCTATCTATATATGTATGTATTTATCTGTATGTTTATTTATCTATTTATCTGTCTGTCTGTATATTTATTCATCTAATCTATGTATGTAATGTATGTACCTATCTACCAATCTATCCATCAATCTATCTATTTCTCCCTCTCTATCTATCTATATACTTATATATCTATGTATATATGTAACTAACTAACTATTTATTTATCTATATATCTATTTATGTAATTGATCTGTGTATGTACCTACTATTTTATTTTCTGTGTTACTAACTATTTATCTACATATGTATATATATATCTATGTATCTATCTATATGTTTATTTATCTACTTATCTAATTATTTTTACTACATATCTAGCTAGATATCCATATTTCTATTCATCTATCTATGAAATAGATATCTACTACTATACTATCTATCTTTTCAATCTATCTATAAATGTATATCTATCTATCTAACTATCTAAAATATTTATTTATCTATGTAGCTAACTATCTATCTAATATATCCAATCTAGCTATTTTCCTAACTACCTATATGTCAAGCTATATTTATTTGTCGGTTTATCTTATTTTCTCTCTAAATCTATTCCATATAGACTTTTCCATCATTAAGATTGATTGTAAATTTTAAAAAAAAATCAAAAACTTTTATTGTCAAAAATTACAATAAAAATATTTAAAAAATCATCGTGTGAAAAGATCTTAAAATAAGCTTATGATACTGGCTTGAACTGGTTCCAACGTAAAAAACCTACATCCATGTAATACTCATTTATTTTCAATTTTATTTTTTATATGTTAAGAATAATTATTACCCTTGTGATGACGAGTGGCTTGCCCAAGTCACAACCCCCCACCACTCTGATGCCCCAGGGTTGATTGTGCCCATCTCGGTGGAGGGTGACCGAGAAACCTCGTGCAGACATTTATCTCCAAAAGATCAGGTTTCAATCTGTAAACCAATAATTTTTTTTTAACAATCTGAAAACTTTGGTTGGAGAAAAATACCAAAAAGACCTCGCGTTGTTTCTGTGGATCTGTAAAATTTCATATTTGTTTTTTTTTTTTAATGGCAAAAACAAATCTAGAATAGAGGCCATTACGTGTTTTCCTGCCTTTCCAACTATTTCCTCATCCCAGATATCAATTTGCTTTTTGGAGCGAGGCCAAACAGGCGGTGCGCCGATAAAACAGCGATTTAGAGCTTGATGGGTTAGTTAAAGTAGAGATCTGTAATGAGGGATCTGTTTAACACGCAAAAACCACTTCGTTTTTGTTTTGGTTTTTTCTTCTTTTGACATAATTCGGCCTGTTTCGTCGACCACCCGCCCGAAACATGTATCAAATCGAGATAAAACGAGTTTTTCCTGGGTTACAGCGATTCTACAATTGTGATAGAATCAAGTGTGGTGTGTTTATTACCTAAAAGTTCTAAAATTTTGAACAGAAGATATAAAGTCTTGCTTGAGATAAAAAGTCAGTGTCACGAGCGGGATTCGAACCCACGACCTTCGGCTAAATACGCCGCTGCTCTACCACTTGAGCTACCGTGACTTCCATCCTCTCAGACACCGACTCTCCATATCAATCTACAACCGTTCGAATTTTCCCTCTTTTTGCCATTTTCAATTTTTTTATCTCAACCAAGACCTTAGATAAAAAGAATAATTAATTGAAAGAAGTAACTTGGTCAATTGACCACTAAAACATAAATAGAAGATACAAATTTTAAAAACCATTTGCGCCTAGGTCTAAAGAAAGTCCAAGATTAAAGACTTAATACTCTTTAAATATTTAGAAAAAAAACTGATTGGCACAAATTTAAGAAATTCATCTAAAAAAACTCTGAAAATAGCTGAAAAATACATTTAAAATATAAAGAAAAAATCTCAAATTTGAAGATAGTAATAACAGAATAATAGGGAAATAATCCAATTCGCTATGTTACAAATGATCACAAAGCTCACTGTAGTGTTGCTGTAATGTAGTGCTTCCCTGGTGACTTGATTTTTTAGGCAGGGATTCTATGGAAGGGCCCCTACTACCTTAATGTCAAAAAATATCTTACAAACCGTCACTTCCAAACTGTCCAAAACATTTCTTTCTCCTCCATTTCCTCGACTCGCTGGTGTCCGACAAGGCGGAGTATTCGCTCCCCTTCTGTCACAATTTACACGGCAGATTTACAAACACCTAGCAGCTCTTTCACTTTTATCTTGGCCCGTGACGCATCAGTTCTCATCTTTGATAATTACAAAATCACTTATATACATTCAAAAACTGTATCTTTTGTAACTATTCGCAAGCACACGTCCAATGTAAGTTCGAGACCATTGAGGTGAGCTGATGATGCCATAATTATCGTATTGTAAGTGAACGTTGAAGTAGTATTTTTCTTGTTTTCTGATAAAACGCTAGTGAAGAGCAATAAATAGGACAGGTGTTACTGTAATGAATACACTGACGCTTCAGCTTGGATCGGTTTAAGTCCTGAACAGGCTTCTTGCTTAATTCGGAATATCTGACATCAAGGTTGGATGATTTGGCCATTTTCAACCAAGCCGTTGTTCAATGAATGAGGATTCGGTTGACCTATTCTGTAGAGAGTTGTCGACGGAAATGAAACTTATGTCACGTATTGTTTTTCGCCCATCGGCAATAGTTTTTTATGCTGGAGCCTTTTTAAATAAATAAGAAAACGCCGGCGATAGAAAATTTGGCCTGAATGATCCGAGCTTATCCAATTTTAACCAACGTTACTTAGTTTAGGAATCAAAATGACCTGATCTTCCATGAATTCATTGAGTATCAGACCAGTACGTACACAGGTCGTATCCGGTGTTTTTTGGGGTTGATTTCATTCTCGAATTTTTTTGAACTTTCTGATCGTTACACCATCGGGAACTTAATCTCTTACCAATAAAAAAATTTATATAACACTTCATCCATCCTAAATTATGTTGATTTACATGCTGAATCATTGATTGATAAATATAAATATATTTCATAACTAAATAATAAACAAGTCTTTGCCTCTGAGTATGACCAAACAACAAAATTTTGTTTAAAAGAATTTATTTTTGATAATTAACGAAAGTCCTTGTTATAAAAATTAAACATAGAATTAGAATTAGCAGTATTTTAAATGGTTTTTCTATTTTCGATTATTTGTACTAGTTCTACTATCATTGCAAACCCAACAGCTACTCAAAAATATGAAGACCTCTGAATCATATGACAGTTTTTTTGAAAATATAATCAGTAATTGACTCTGAAAATGACTAAACGAAAAACATTTGTAAAAACTATTGATGAAGAAGATGTCTGAATGAAAATAATTTTGAAATGAAAATGAAAAATTATACCAAATTGATAATAACGAACTATGTTAAAATATGACCGAACGAAAGCTTCAAACCAAGCTAACTTCATCGGTCTTTTGACTTTTCTATAAAATATTTTGTAAATAATTAAAAAAATTTAAAGTCAATAAACAGAATATTACAATTAATTAAGGTTTTTAGTTGAGATAAAAAAGCCAATGGCACGAGCGGGATTCGAACCCACGATCTTCGGCTTGACACGCCGCTGCTCTACCACTTGAGCTATCGTGACCTCGATCCACTCGGACACCAACTTCCCACCTCAACCCACCTTTCGAATTTTCCCTCTTTTTTGCCATTTTTCAAATGTTCATTTTACTTATTAAATCCATTAGATTTCGTGGCCCGATTGACCAAATAACTTCTTTCAATTAATCTGTGTGTGAGGTTGAGATTAAAAAAAATAGCAAAAAGGAGGGAAAATTCGAAAGGTGGGTTGAGGTATGGGAACAGATAAACAGAATATTACAATTAATTAAGGTTTTTAGTTGAGATAAAAAAGTCAATGGCACGAGCGGGATTCGAACCCACGATCTTCGGCTTGATACGCCGCTGCTCTACCACTTGAGCTATCGTGACCTCTATCCACTCGGACACCAACTTCCCATCTCAACAGCACCTTTTGAATTTTCCCTCCTTTTTGAATTTGAAAAATGGCAAAAATCTCAAGTGGTAGAGCAGCGGCGTATCAAGCCGAAGATCGTGGGTTCGAATCCCGCTCGTGCCATTGACTTTTTTTATCTCAACTAAAAACCTTAATTAATTGTAATATATTAATTGTTCAAGCGGACCACGAAATTAGGGAATTAAACAGAATATTGTTTACTATTCTCATTTACAAAGCCGAAGTTCATTAGTCAATCAAGCCAATATTATATTTACCAAGGAAATCGAAAAAAAATACTGTAAGAAACCAAAATTGAAAATATCTGCACTATTAAATGTACTTAAGTCTACTTTGTATATAGTGTTGGCTTTTAATAAACCTGACTGGAAAAATTAATTAATTCAATAATAGTTAACAGTAATATAATATTTTCCAGATAAAAATCCGTCTCGTCCTATCAGTGAATTGTCTTTTTGGCACCACCACGTCTGTTTTTCAAGCGTCAACAACAAAAACAACGTCAATCAACAATAATCTTTGTTGGAAAAATAACACCAGGATTCGAAGACGTGGTGAACATTGGCAGAGGCGAGTTATTCAGTCGACCTACTTTTTTATTTCTGTTACGCTATGCCGAACTATCGGCGTTTAATAGAAAATATTATCGCCTGGTTTTATTAATGAAAATCTGAAATGACAGATTGTTTTAAAGGTTCTATGAACCACATTTAATTGTTACTGTAATTCCTATCATATAAAGAGGAACCCGGGGGCTAGGGGTCAGAACCACTTTACTAATCAAAACAGCAATGTCGGGATTCGAACCCAAAGCTGCTAGAGTGGCAAGTAAGAATCGGAAGCACTAGCCACTAAGCAATAGCGGTCCTTTAACATTAATTAAAAAACAGGCCTAAGATCGATTTCGTGAATTATTAACTCATAAAAAAATCCTAAATCATTTTAGTTACTTTTACTTTAAAAAGTACAGATTTCAACTCGGTTTTTTTCAAATTATTCAATATAGAAAAAACTCCATAACCATTTTAGTTAATCTTTGCTTAAACAATGTTTACATAATTTAAGTTTAAAATATTTAACCATAATTCTGCACCCTCGGGACAAAACTGGATAAATCAAAAAGCATATTTTTTTTCATGTTTGCTTTGCTATTTTAGTCAGGCCAACAAAAGCCCATTTGTAAGTATGTCGGGTTCGAATGCAGGGCCGCTGGATTCGAACCCGGGACCTTTACCTTACAAAGATAAGCGCCGTGTCAACGCCTAAACCAAGTAGAATTATCAAAACGTTTCCAGGTAACGTTAATTGCGTTTAAAAGGAAGTAGCTTCGGCTTACTCAATTATGCACAGTCTATCAAGCCTAAAACATCTGGAATTTGCACTTTTCTCATTTGGCCAAAATTTGTCTTATCCCGTTTTACCCCGGGGGTGCAGTGTTTTGGGTTAAACAATAATCTGTATTGACAATTATTATTTATATGTCAACTATCTCCATACAAATCGATTTTATTCAATTATAAAATATTTTTTGAATAGCCCTTTCCCGTTTATCTTTGACAAGTATAGCCTTGTTTATCCCATTTAATTTTCATGGTAAATATAAAATTATGAAATTTTAAAATCATTTTGACTTAAACAAAAAATTTAAACGACTATAATTTTTACTTAGGTTTTATTACTATAAATTATCTGAATATAATTGTCTGTCTTAACAGTATAATTGTGTATTAAAAAACAATGAATTAGACCAAAAAAACCTCCTTCATCAAGCGTTCGAGGAATTATCTTCATCAGGACTTTGAAACTATTATTAATAATTCAAAAGTCTTTCAATTAATTAAGGTTTTGGTTGAGATAATAAAGTCAGCGTCACGAGTGGGATTCGAACCCACGATCTTCGGCTAGATACGCCGCTGCTTGAGCTATCGTTTCCTCGATCCACTCGGACACTAACTTCCCATCTCAAGTGATAGAGCAGCGGCGTATCTTGCCGAAGATCGTGGGTTCGAATCCCGCTCGTGACGCTGACTTTTTTATCTCAAGCAAAACCTTAATTAATTGAAAGATATTAATTGGTCAGGCGGACCACGAAAACTAGAGAATTTAATAATTCAAAAAGTTAGCAAATATGAACATCTATATGAAAACGTCGACAAAGAAGCTGACTGTTTCTTTCAAACAATAATAATCTAAATAATCTCGTCCTCATACCTGATTTTTCAATGGAAAAATTAGAATTATAAAAGACTTAAGATCAGCTTTGATCAATTCTCAACCATTTATCCAAACTTTGTGTTAAAAATAGAAATATTCAAAACGATAATTTCACGTCAATTATGACAGCCTCAAATAAACTTGAATTTTTTGTAAGTCACAATTTTAATAAGGTTGTCAAAAAAGAAAACGGTGCAGAAGCCAGTCTTACTTCTTCTGAAATAACAGGCACAAGGACAATTTGTTTAAAGAAAAATGAAAATTTCAAACAATTTTGATTTAAAAATAACATTCAATATAATTTTTAACAACATTTTTTTAGATATTAACTAAAATATATAAAAGATCAATGATAAGGCGAATTTAAAATAAAGAAAAACACTCATTCTTCATCCAGCTTTCAGGAAATATATTTCACCAGGGCTAGTATTTTTAACTATTTACAAGGTTAACAAATTAAATTTAATTCAATCCTTAATCATTATGATACGGATTATCTTTCTACAGTGGTAATGTCGTATGGCGAGTGGTAGAATGTTCAAACAATTAAATTTATTATGGCTCAAGATTTAATTTCAAATTTTGTAAACGAAATTAAATACACGTTATTTTAACGGTGTAAATCATTAGAAATAGTTTCTAAACCGTGATAAAGGTGATTTCTTCGAATGTTTGTCGAAGAAATTAAGTTTTTCTTTCTTTCAAATTCGCCTTACACTTCCTCTTTTATATTCAATTATAATATTAAGGTTGATATCAATCACATCAAATTAACTAATTTTACTTAGTTTTCCGTTAACAATTTTTTATGGTAATTAATGTTAAATTCCTTAAACCAATACAAGATATCAGTGGTTTATATTATTGTTAGTCTTTCTTTTATTCTTTTTTTTTAATTATTATTTACAGCTGCANCACGATAGCTCAAGTGGTTAGAGCAGCGGTGTATTGTGCGGAAGGTCGTGGGTTCGAATCCCGCTCGTGACACTAATTTTTCATCTCTAGCAAAAACCTTATTTAAAAAGAATAACTTTTTTTAATATCGGCTACTTTTTATGAAAATGTGTTTTTGGTTGTCTACGTGTATGAAATAAAGTGGATCTAGATAAAAATTGGCTGAGTTTAAAATTTGGCCATCGTTAAATCTTGAATTTCATATTCTAATCGTCTCATTAGAAGTTCAATCTTAATTTTAGAATTCAGCCTTGTACCAGGTCTTTTATTTACCGGTCAGATGCGACTGAGTGGATGGATTAAATTTAATACATAGTAACTATTCCAACTGTCGAATTTACGTTTTAATTAGGGTCGTTTAAAAACCCCAGAGGTGATAGATCGAGATAGACAATTTTGGACAAGGTCCAATGTTGAACAAAAGTTACTTTCCTAAACAATCGGTAACAATTTGTCAGAGATTGATCACTTTAATTTTGTTTTTCTTTGAAAAGGGGGGAAATAGTTCCGGCTTACTTGCTTATTTTCTCTTGATTCCTCCGGATCCGAAGCCGGGACGCCGTTGTACGACGGATTATCTTCGATGGGTCTTCGGGCCACCTTTCGCGAGCCTCGGAACACAACTAGCTAATCATTTAACGGGTAGCCGCGGCTACTCACCGTTCTGAAGACGTGGGCACGGAAGGCAAAGGGGCGGACACGTGTTTCAGAAGTGTTCGCTCCGGGTGTTCTGGGGAGACGCTTTTGCATCAGAGAATAGCCGGGTGTCCAGACCTGCGGACGGAAATAGTAGCCGACATCCCCCCACCGGGAATACATATATATATATTTTTTTTTTAATTCTCATTGCAGGGCCAATGCCAATCAGCAATCAGACCTGTCACATCCCAAAGTTTATCTTATCTTTTTTGTATATAAGTATAAAATCCAGACAAAATATAACGTGTTTTTTCGATTATACACCAATTTAAAATGCCATTGTTTCATCAACAAGAACATTATTTTCAAACATTTAAACGACCCTGAATGCAAAAATTCTACACCTGCTTAACACGGTATTTAATCAAATTAGACAAAAATAGAATCCGCTTCATCTCAGTTATTTAAGGCAGGGGACAGAAATGATAAATATAAATTGAAACGGAAACACCTTTTTTTTGCAACACTTCGATATTGATCAAGCACAGGTTGACCCAGATCGTCAAATGTGATCAAAACAGTTTAATTAAAATTCACAAGATTAGAAATATTGTTTGAAGATCGAGGTACAACTTTATTAAAATTCTACTGTACGAAATACATTATGTAACATGTTATTTAACATATTAACAACACATGTCCTGAGGAAAGTAAACGATTTATTTACCATTTTGGCGAGGACTTAGCGTTGAATTCAGCAGAGCCCTAAACCTGAAAATTTCTTGTTTTCCTATATCTCGTTAAAATTAGCAATAGTTTTATTATTTAGACAATCAAGGACAATTATAATTTTTTAACCATCTTCAAAGGACAATCTACTACAATAGGAATGAACTTTAATTTTCGAGGGCCATGGAATGACATGGAAAACTACAGCTAAGATCGCTCCCCTGACAAGTTAGCACGGCTGATGATGGCTCAGAGACGAAAAACGTTTTTGGTTCTCTATGCAAACACGATTGGATATGAGAGATTTTTTGTTGTTTTTTATACGCCTACATAACACAAACCTAACTAGAAAAACAGCGAGAATAAGCGGACCAGAACGTTCTTGTCCGTGCAATAAACGACGATAAATAAATAAAAAATCATTAATTTGAGGATCTACTCTGTAGGCCAATTGACGATTAAGTAAAAAGGAACAACCAGGAAAAATAACCTTAATCACGGATGAATTCAATAAAAAATTATAAGTTGTAGTATCTCTTCTGTAGATCGATTGAAGACGTACAAACTAGAAAGGAACAGCCCAGAAAAACAGCGAGAAAAACGGACCAAAACGTTCTTGTCTGTATAATAAAACACTCTTAACAATAGTCACTCATAAACCTTCACGGATGACTTTAATGAAAAATTATGTTTGAGGGACCTCTTCTGTAGGCCAACTGAAGACTGTACTTCGTAGAAAAATGAATCCCGAAAAACGGCGAAAATAAGTGGACCACAACGTTCTTGCCTGTATAATAAAGCATTCTTCACGATAAATAGAAGCTCATACACCTTAATCATGAATAAATATAAATAAAAAATTATAAGTTTGAGGGACCTGTTCTATAGGTCAATTGATAACTGTAATACGTTGAAAAATGAATCCCGAAAAACGACGGGAATATGCGGACCAAGACGGTTTTGTCAGTATTATAAAGCACTGTCAACAATAAATAGATGAAATAGATGTATTTTAAAATTGAATAAATATAAATAAAAAATTATAAGTTTCGAGGATCTCTCTCTACAACCCGGAAAAATGACGAGAATAAACGGACCAAAACATTCTTTCGTTTATAATAAAACACTCTTAACAATAGACACTCTACTCCTTAATCATGAATGAATTCAATAAAAAATTATAATTTTAGATCGGCTGAACACTGTAGAAAGGAACAGCCCAGAAAGACAGCGAGAATATGCGGACCAAGATGTTCTTGTCTGTACTATAAAACACTCTCTACAATAAATAGATGCATTTTAATCATAGTTAAATATAAATAAAAAATTATAAGCTCGAGGATCTCTCTGTAGGCCAACTGACGATTAAGTAGAAAGGAACAACCCGGAAAAATAGCGAGAATAAGCGGACCAAAACGTTCTTTCCTTTATAATAAAGCACTCTTAACAATAGTCACTAATACATCTTAATCATGGATGAATTCAATAAAAAATTATAAGTTTTAGCATCTCTTCTGTAGATCGACTGAAGACTGTACTGACTAGAAAGGAACAGCCCAGAAAAACAGCGAGAATAAGCGGACCAAGACTTTCTTGTCTGTACTATAAAACATTCTACAATAAAGAGATGCATTTTAAGCATGAATAAATATAAATAAAAAAATTTATGTTCGGGGATCTCCTCTATGGGCCGACTGACGATTAAGTAGAAAGGAACAACCCGGAAAAATAGCGAGAATAAGCGGACCAAAACGTTCTTTCCTTTATAATAAAGCACTCTTAACAATAGACACTCATATACCTTAATCATGGATGAATTCAATAAAAAATTATACGTTTTAGCATCCCTTCTGTAGATCGACTGAAGACTGTACTGACTAGAAAGGAACAGCCAAGAATTCAGCGAGAATAAACGGACCAATCCTGACTTTAATAAATTAGTCCAATCATTAAATAGACTACCACATTGCTTTATTACATATTAATATCAATAATTATAAACTCGAAGATCTCCACGATGGACCATAAATTAATACCAATAATCATAAATTGGAGGATACTTACAATGGATCAGCACCTTATCTAGATCGAGAAAAAAAACAGCGATGATACGCGAGCCAAGACCGACTTTAATAAAGTACTCCCATAAATAGACTCTCAGATTATAAACTAATATCAATAATTATAATTTCGAGGGGTTCTTACACTCCAACTCCTTAATTAGTGGATAGCTGCAATTCAGAAAAACAGCGAGAATATGTGGACCCATCTGTACAATTTCAGTGAGAATAAATCATACAAACCCTGAAAAACTGTTTCTATTTATGTGTGGTGATTAGTTACCGTTAATCGATAATTATTCAGAAATCGTGAGATGCGGTCTGGTGTGATGTAGGTTTCAGAAAAACATTTTCTTTATCGTGTCAACGTTTCGATCTTTATTGAGATCATCTTCAGGGCTCAATAAAGATCGAAACGTTGGCACGATAAAGAAAATGTTTTTTGTTTCTAATAACAATGTTTTGTTGTTAAATGTTTGTTTCTATTAAAATCAACCGATAAAGTGAATTGAGGAGATAGCGAGTAAATGAGAACCACAGACATTTAACTGTTAATAAAATGATAATCAAATAATAAAATGATAGGCAAAATACTGGTAAAGCTCATATCGAACCTCTTGTCCAAGGAAATTCCTACAAACACAATTCCCCACCACCAATTCGGCTTTTGAATTGCCACTCAACTGTACAACAAGCACATCGCAAAATCGACATCCTATGAGCTAAAACAGTATTGACCGGGTGTATTCTTGGATATACACCAGGCCTATGAGCTGAGGAAGCTTAAGAACATCCTACCAGCAACCTACCTTATCCTAAAATCCTATTTTAACGACTGTTACATCCCCACATACTGTTAGTATCCCACAGAAATTCATTGCCTCCTATCCATCCTATTCTGGCACGTGTCCCACAAGGCAGCGTGCTCGCTCCTTTCCTTTATTCAATTTATACCTCCGACCTACCTACGCAAACTAACACTATCACCTTCACCTTTGCCGATGATACCGCCATCCTTTCTGTTGATAAAGATCCTGTCACAGCTTCCCACTATCTTCAAAATCACCTACACATCCTAGAAATCAAATCGACAAACACAATATTGACCCTAAACAAAAAAACGCTCCCACCAGTATACCTCAACCCATCCCAATTGCGAACCATGTACGATACCTCGGACTTTACCTGGACAAACGTCGAACCTCCATACACGACTCAAGCGCACAGACTGTAACATACGAATTTTCATGCTTAAACGGCTACTGACAGACGATCAACACTCTCACTAACAAACAAAAGGAAACGTTACATTACCCTCCTGGCCCCATTTGGACATACGGACTTGAACTTTACGGAACTGCTAAGCATTCCAACCTCAATTCAATCCCTTCAATCCAAAATCCTCAGAACCATAGTCATCGCCGCTTTTTATGTCTCCAATCAGACCATCCATACCTCTTGTTACCGAGCGAGTCCAATCCCGCTACAAAACGTACCATTCCAAACTACCCCATCATCCGAAACCTTTCGTCAAAAACCTGTCATCCACCACATTACCTAATAATCACAACAGAAGACTGAAGCGTCGATGACCCCGCGACAACCTTAACCCTTGACATCGGTCTCCTAGGTCTCTCGCTCATCGTATTGATATACTAACGGCTACCATCACTAGATGCTAGCTGTTCAAGCTTTCATGCTACTGTTATTATTGTGTGCATGTAAATATTATATGCTTTACTTGATTGGTCGAAGAATGCAGTTGTAAAAAAAATTAGATTCTTAATTTTTGAAGGTTTTTATTAAAGATATTTTTTACCCAATTAAGCTACGGCAAATTACAAATATTTTTTTTTTATAAAGTAATTCCCTCAGATACTGAAAACTTTTTTGGAGGATTACAAGTTGCTAGTGCATATTTAAAATACTACTCATGGGAAATGTACGGACTCCTTGATATATTAAGCTTGTACAAGTTTTTTTATCACCAAAGTTAAAATGGATAACTGAAGTCTTGTGTCACTTCCTTTAATGTTTCCTCTTTGAAAGGAAAAAGAAAAGTAAGTTCCTAACCGTGCTGTGGCACTACAAGTAAACTATTATTGGGTTGTCCGGAAAATAATGCAGGATTTTAAGTTTTCATTAAAAAAAATCTATATAAAATATTCTGTTTACGTTTACAGGATTACTCATTTGTATGAATGTCAACACTT